TCCGGCAGCTCATGCCCTCGGTGCCCGGCACTAACGCCCTCCGTGCCTGCCGTCCCGGCAGGTGCCTCTGCACACCCCACACCTCCCCGCTCCGCTGCGCCCTGCGCTGAGTCAGACCAGCTGCACCGCCGTGTCCTGACCGAAGGCTCCTGGGATGTCACGCCGCAGGCACCAACCCAAGCCTGGCGACCTTATCAAGGTCAAGCGATCAGTTTACCAGCACTGGGCCCTCTACTTGGGGGATGGATATGTCGTCCACCTGACGTCCGCAGGTAAGGCTGGTGCAACCTGGCAGGGTGCAGAGGGGGTGCTGTGGTGCCCCGGGAGCCCTGTCTCCCTCTGTGGGCTGCTGGTTGACCAAAACTGTGTATGTAGATGGCATTTCAAAGAGCAGACACAAACCGATTTGAGGTCTTGGAGGGGCCACATAGGTTCTGCCTGGCTTGTCTCCTTCCTGCCTTTCCCAGATGAAGGGATCCAATGCCTGTCAGCCAGTAGTGACCCAACATTGAGGAAAAAGGCCAAGGTGAAGAAGCAGCTCCTGAAGGAGGTGGTGGGAACTGATGACTGGGAGGTCAACAACAAGTATGACCGCTCCCGCACCCCCCTCCCAGTGAAGGAGATCATCGAGCGTGCTGAGAGCTACATTGGCAGGGAGATGACCTATAATGTGCTCTGGGAAAACTGTGAGCACTTTGTGACAATGCTCCGCTATGGTGAGGGGGTCTCTGACCAGGTAAGTACCATGAGATAAGCCCCTCTGTGCCTCACACAGCACCTCCTTGCTGCTCCCTGTGAGCCTCTGGACAGGGACACAGACCACAGACTGTCTGGGGACAGCCAAGTCCCAGGTGTGGGGTCCAAACCAGCACTGCTTCTGGCCTCACCAGACACCCTGGAGCAGGAGGGTCACTGTGGTCTGTCTGCACCCTGACAATGCCTTCTTACTGAATGCCACAGCCTAAGGGTAAAAACCTGGGTGTTAGCCCTTCTATTTATGGGGTAGATATCTGTCATTCATTTGATTGCTCTGATTATACCTACCTGCTCTTTATTATCATGCTTGAGGGTAAATATAATTACTTCTTTTGTTTCCAACCTGTGTTTTCCTTTACCTTTACAGGCCACTAGTGGAATTCTAGAGGTGATGGATTTCAGTCGTGAAGTGATCACTTATGTACTTGTGGGTGTTGCAGCTCTGGGTTTGACTAGTTTCGGTGTTAGTCCTGTTGCTGCTATTGTTGCTGCTACTATTGGTGCTACTGCTGTTACTGGTTTCCTTAAGCTGTTTTTAGGGTCTTCTTCTAGACAATCGTGGAATGAGAAAAAGAGCAACTGATGGGCCATTTGAAAGACCTCCAAGCTAGGCAGGGAGCCCCTGGCTGTGGGTGGTCATTGCCCAGTATTTGCCACACCTGATACCAAAGACTACCAGCAACTTTGCTACCCTTCCTGCAATAATTAATAATTAAAATGTAATCTAAACAAACAAACTCATGTTGACCTAAATTCCTCTTCTATCTTTTGAGTATAGTTTTGTGTGCAAGTGCAACAATTCAGCCTTGCTTCTCTCTTCCATTCCATTAAGAAATAACA